TTCCCTGAATTGTCAGTAGCACGCGGTCCTGTAACGTAGCCCGCGGGCACAGGAACTTCTACTAAGCCAGTTCACGAATAATCCGCCTCGGCTCGGTCCTTGTCACAAATCTATTTACTATAAACGAAGGCCGGCCTCTTGTAAACCTGTCAGATACATAACGAGGTAAACCGGTTTCTGTGTCAAATGTCAAAAAGCGCGCAGACATGGTTCAGTTTCTGTGATGTGCCAACAACATCTACATTTCAAACACAACATATACACAACATATCCACAACATCCACATTTCAAAACACAACATAGACACTTCAAAAGCTGTTTTTACACATTCTACATTGTTTGAAAATAAACAAAACACAGTATGAGTTACGATCGGAATGATTCTTTACAGCAGCCAAACGTCAGTCCTCCACCCTCGATGAGACTTCAAATCCTATCATGCTTCTGCCTCTGGGAGTCATGCCTGTCGCTGTCGGGAGTCTTGCAATGCCTCATGGGACTTGTAGTCTCATCAAAAAGGTGGAGGACTGAAGTTTCGCTGCCCCGCTAGAAAGAATAATTCCAATAGTAGCTCATACTGGGTTTGTTTTCATACAATGTAGAATATATAAAACAGCTTTGAAATGCACATATTGTGTATATATTGTGTTTGAAATGTTGATGTTGTGTATATATTGTGTATATATTGTGTATATATTGTGTATATATTGTGTATATATTGTTGGCACATCATAGAAACCGTGATTTTCCCAAATGAGCTTTCAGTTGAAACCCGCTAAATACATTGCAGGTGAACAGTGGCGTCACAAGGGGGGTGCGGCCCGCACCCGGGTGACACCATTGGAGAGGTGGCACCAAAATGACTGACAGTCATGGACCGAATACCCAACAGTATCAGGAGAGAGGAGGGGACCCGGCGGCATACCTTATCCCAACGGGTGACTACCCCCTCCTCTCTCTGCCGGCGTCAATCACCAAGATGGCCGCCATAAAGGTATCAAGAAGATCGCCGCGGTGGGCGCGGTGACGTCTCGGCAAGGTGAATCACAACAAAAAGGTGTTCAATGTCTTCCAATTTTCTTTCTTAAAAAGGTGCCCATACACCTTACAACCATCGCACGACTTTCGTTTGCGAACACGTTTTTGTCCGATATGCGTACGGTTGTTGGGCAGTGTGCAACCGCAAATACTGTACAATCGATTGACTTTTGGACTTTCCAGCAGGTTAGAAAACTTCTGTCCATCGTCCGATTTTCGCAAGGTTGGTGGCGTTTCCATACGTCAAAATTCGTACGATCTACACTGCACATGTGCAGATGAAAATACGCGCGGTGGATTACCGCAATCCGTCCAGGTGCTTTCTTAGGGCTTAGGCTTCCCATACACCTTGCGATCATCGGACGACATTTTTTGGCCGATTATCGAACCGACGTACGATTTCCGTACGGCGGTCCCATCCTGCCCCGATTTTTTGCAAGGTTGGATCAGCGGTAATTAGAAGAAAGCACCTGGACGAATTGCGGTAATCGACTGCACTTATTTTTATCTGCGCATGTGTACGAATTTTGACGTACGGAAACGCCACCAACCTAGCGAAAATCGTACGATCGACAGAAGTTTTCCAACCTGCCGGAAAGTCAAAAGTCGATGGATTGTACAGTATTTGCGGTTGTACACCGCCCATCAACCTTACGAATATCGGACGAAAACGCGATCGCATATGAAAATCGGCCGATACTCGTAAGTTGTATGGGCAGCTTAAGGGCTCATTCACACCACATCCAGATCATCTCCAGACCAGACCAGACCGTTTCCCGACCCAAAATGCATCCCAATGTATCCCTATGCTATTTCTGGCCTCTGTTCACACCAGCGCAGTCCGTTCCAGACCAGACCAGAAAAATACTGCACGTCTCATTTTGTCTGGTCTGGAACGCATAGAAATGCATCAAAACCCCATGGAATGCACCTGAAAGCCCATTTTAAGCTAAAAAAATGAAACAAAATAACCCAGCTCCGGAACACGGCAAAATCACGCTAAAACTGCAGCAAAAATGTGATGCACTGCGTTCCAGATCTGGTCTGGAAAATGGTGTGAACCCAGCCTAAGGCCTGCGTCCAATCAGATTGCTCAGGTGTTTTGAGAGCCAGCGGGGCCGACTAGCAGGATACTGAAGCTTGGCCCAGCGGGAGATTCCTCCATCCACACAGTTTAGCGTAGATGGGAGGAATCTGTTGCACTTTTTCCATCTGACCATAGAAAGTCTGCAGATAATCTCTAGGTGTATGGGCGGCTTAACCTATCGATTTCCAGCCTGCTTAAAAGACAAAAATCTGCCAGTTGTACAGTGATTGAGGTTGTGCAGTCCCCATCATCTGGCAGATTTTCGGACGAAAACGGTATCGCAGACAAAAATCTCAGCCTGAGTAGAAAAGCACCCCAGCTCTCCGTGGGGAAGCAGCAGTCTCTCTGCACAGGTCTGACACCAGGTGCTGCATCTAAGATCTGTGAGTACATTTCAGGAAGGAACTATGACTACATACTACTGACCCCTGCACTCCGCCTTACATACTACTGACCCCTGCACTCCGCCTTACATACTACTGACCCCTGCACTCCACCTTACATACTACTAAGCCCTGCACTCCACCTTACATACTACTAAGCCCTGCACTCCACCTTACATAC